CAGGGGAATTTTATTCTTATTTGACGTTTTGCAGTTAGGTTGTTGCATCCCTACTCTTTGTGTAGCCTATTTCAAATAGTATTTGGTCATCAAGACTTCTGGATTTCTTCTCTGGATGTAAACAAATGGATCGTGGACTTAAACGAACGGAACTACAAGATCACCCAGATTTGAAGTATCAAAATTTCTAATGAAAAATGATAAAAACAAGCCCTGCCTTACCTTTCCACCAGCATCTCCAGACTTTAGTTTTTCTTCCTTTTTCTTTATGTCGCTTTCCCAGTTGTCTAAATCAGCCAAGTAGTTTTGCAATTCCGATTGGTTTTGACGCATCTGCGTCTGTAAGTTTATCATCTTTTCTTCATGCTTCGAAACTTTAGACATGGCGTCAGATTTAAGATTTTTAAGGTTTGATAAACAGCTGAGCCTCTCTTTCTTCTTTGTCTATGGTCTTAATCTATTGATCAACAATCTAAAATGTTCGTTCATCAGTAATTTGCCGAAACTGAAACAAGCTGTAGATCTAGATCTAGATTTAGATTCTTTATATTAGATCTTGGAGAATCTAAGAAGCAGACCTAGATATCTAGATTCTAGATCTCTAGAAATTCTTGAATCTAGATCTAGCAGAGTCTACTATTGATTGATTCTCATTCAAATTCAAGGCGTGTCGTGTAGGCTATGACAAACCGAGGAACGCTCTCAATTCAGTTGGTTAGAACCCAGAAAGATATTGAGGTGGAAAACATCAGACAAACAACTAGATCGTGCTTGTTGTAAAGTTATACCGGAACCAGAATGTGTTTGGAAGAAGCTTCGATCCGAAAGTCGAAAGTAGATCGAGGCCTTGGCTGGAAGTCGTTGCCAAGAAAGGAAACACACTCTTCGTAATTTCAAACTATCAGCTTTTTCTATTATAATAATCATCACACAGATTATGCAAACACAATTCAAACGGCAAAAGGGAAATCTTCTCATCTCATCTGACTAATCAGTAGTTAATGAATGTCTTTCTTCTAGTTTTTTCCAATGCAGAAATGTGCAAAAAGAGAGCTTTTGTTCTTTTCCTTCACATAATAATATTTATATCTATTTATTCGCCATAAAGAGTTGACTACGACGGCTACGAAACAATATTTGTACTCTTCAACGTTGGTGAATTGAATGAGTAGAAATCCAAACAAAATGGCGGAAATTGTCTAAAGCTCGGAAGTTGCAAGAAAGTTCTATTGAAATTAAATGAAATTACGAGGTAGGCCTGTATAAAATGGTATATTTGGCGTACGCATTCAATCTTTGAAAAGAAAAGAGGAAATAAACCATAGTAGCTGTCACCAACAGTGAACAGTGAGACCGCTAACACAAACAACATCAGTGGCTATCGTGATCAGTCTGTCATCAGTCAGTGATCCGCCAGTTTCACACAATCACCACGTCCCACACTACTATCGGGGATGAACTGAAAAATCTAACAACCCCCCTACCCCACCTCACCCTGATTGTTGCGGCCACTCTTGCAGCATTGGATGACACGGAGGGTGTAAACCGGGTTACAATTGGCTGAACCTTTGACCCTTGTATTATTAAGCAGGCTTTTAATTTTAAGGCAGGTACTCTGGGAATTCCCGGTTTCGGTCTCACGCCTTTGACCGCCTTTTCACTTCTCGCTGGGGGTTGGAGCGCTTTTAGAAGAAGAAAACAAAGAACAAGAAGAAGAAGAAGGAGGATGAGGTCGAGGAGGAGTAGATATATATGTAATACGGAGGAGAAGTTCATCAAGAAGAAGAAGTAGGAGGAGGAGGAGAACAAGAAGAAGATAAAGTACTAGAGTAATCGTACCGGGTCGGGCAGCACGTTTTTTTCTAGCTGTCGGGCACTGGAGTACAAAAAGATCGTTAAAAACTTTGTTTTTAAATCTAGCCCCAAAAGAGTGGCACACAAACTAGCAATGCCAATGAAAATTTAAATTTTCACTTTTGCCCCCTTTTTTTTGGTACCTAATAAGAAAGAATTTTCAATTCTGATAATCATGCTTCTTGAATTTTGAGAAACGGTTCATAAATAAAAAAGTTATGGGGTTGTAAAGGTCGGCAAAATATGGATGACCCACATATAGGAAAATGCTCCTAAAAAGTGGACCACGCAGTAGCAGATTCTGTAAGAAAATCGACGATATCTCGGTAACTAATCCAGATGTTGGAGAGAAACTTGGCTACCCGATGTGTTTTTGAGTGTAGAAATCATTTCTGTTGTCAGATTTACTACCAATTTCGTAGTTATTTTGTTATAATTGAAATTGTGGTGTACATATTACGATTTTGCGAAAAAGGGGTGTCGGGATGAGTCCATTTTATTTATAGCATCGTATCACAACATGGGATCTTTAAGAATATATGTCGGCAGCGTGACTAAATAATTGCAAAGCTTTTTATGATGACTTTAGACCATGCCGACCGTAAAAGATAAGTTAATTCAATCTAGCATGCCATACAATTAAAAATTCTTTTTCCCCGTTGAGACGCGAACACCCCGAGACGAGATAACCTCGCCTCGGAATACCCCCATTGCGATGTTACAGGGGAATAGAGAGAAAAACAACCGGATGCGCGCGCCCGCCATTGCCCTATTTCAAGTGACCAATGAACGGGCCCGGAATAGTCATGCGGGGATTTGTAGGTCACAGACATTTGCCACGGGAGTGAGGGGAAAATGGCCGGTCTCCGTGCGAAGCCGCTTTGGATAGGGGGGTAGTCGTAGATTTACGATCGGGTCTAAACAACTACTTGACACAGAACTCTCAAATTTGAGCACACTATAGAGGATAGATAGATCTATTACCATCTGGGCGTTGAAATTCAAACTCCTTATAGTTTTCGGTGTACACGATACGAAAGTGTTCCCGACACCAAAAGTATAGGTTAATTTATGTGTACGAACTTCAACGTCCACATATCATTAGTTTGCCCTATTTTCTGATTGGTAGCCCAGTTTCATTCGGATTGGTTCGGAAATAGAGCAGACCGAGGTTGACAAAGTTAGTCACCTACGCTTCGGCCGGGTCCGCAAAATCGCCCGTAAACGGGGACCAAATTTTCACCTCGCGGGAAAGCCCGATTGGCATTGCTACACAAACCTAAAGCAACCTCCCTTACTTTCGTTGAAACAACAGTTACGGCGATATTTTGCTAAAAATTAAAATAGTCCTTTACTCTTATCCTGCGTCTGTGCCCAGATGCGTATCTTATCAGCAACCGACTACGTCGGACGTGCCGGGCAGGCCGCCGGGGTCACTCAGTGTGTACTGTTGGTGTACAGCGGGCGCGCCGGGAAACGTGTGTTTTCGCCATGAATACCACGGGAGTGTGTGTTAACTGATGATGAAAATAACGCTCTATCCTTCATAGTATAGCTTTCTATTTATAAAGTGTTACAAACATGAATAACCCCCTCTCACAAGCTGATAAGACATTACGAGTAGTTACGCCCATTTAAATAACCTTTCTTGACGCTCTTGTTTATGAATGACCTGAAGTTCGAAAGGGGATAATTTCTTAGGTCAATTTCCGAATGTTTTACACTCAAATTGTTCTTTGTACCTGCACAAGGGTATTCAAAACTATCAAACAAGAAGCTCCTTTTTTATCAGGTAGTATCATTTCATACAAAATCAAGCTCATTTGAAATATTTTGTATAGAAAAATGGAAGTCTTGTTTCCTGACTATCCTTTCGAGCTCCTCATGTCTAAGTGGGTCAATTTTTTCTATAATTTCATTGGACGAACATCTAGAGCTATCAACTTGGCATGTTTTGAATGAGACGTATGCCTCGATTACGAACCAACGCAGGTGGTTCTAGAAGACGGCCACAAACGCACAAAAACTCAAGCAGACTGACGCACACACACTTGACCTGCGTGAATGGGGATCCGACTCGGGACCCGAATGACACGTAAGATGATGCGCGTGCGCTGAGCCAGGAGCTACACTGACTCGGGACCAGAACGCAGGCGAGGTGCCGAAATAGGCTTATCGGGCTACATAAACCCGGCTCCCGCAGGATGAGGGTTAAGACAGCTTTTTCTTCATCAACTGAGCAAAACAGCGTGAAGCTGTTTCCCTGGAAGAGTTAACATTGTGGTTGTGGATGAAGGAGCTTGTGGCCTAGATTCTACGTTTTGGTAAACTCTGAAAGCTGGAGAATTATTTGCATATGAGGCCCCATCAAGGATGAAAGAGAATTTGCAGTTCAGCCTCGCCATTTTTGCCGAAAGGGGGGGGTGCCCGGATTGTAACATAAAATCCGTAGTTTCTCATCCTTCGGCCACATAAGATAATATAGTGCCAATGGTTATATCATAATAAAAGAATCAAGAATTTGTGCATAATTTAAATAAGAGTAGAGTCAGATACAGCATATTAGCTCAGTCAGACACTAGGGTAGTAGAGTCAAGATACCAGTGTGTAATACAGTCGGATATCAGTATAGCAGAGTCAGATTCCAGTGTAGTTGAGTGAGCCAGATGCCAGTGTAGTAGAGTCAGATACCACGTAGTAGAGTGGGTCAGATATTCATTAAAATAGCTATAAATGGTGAAAACCACTTTAGACAAACTATCATTGTGTCCAAGGGAATGGTTTGCTTTCTTCATCTTGATCAGTCCTGCCTAAAACGGCCACCTGTCTTAGAGCCACTTTTCTCCTTGACAATGGGTGGCCGTCTTACACAGGTTCAGCTGTAATTGATTTGCAACTCTATTAGTATCATGTGTAATCTGCTGCAAAAAATACTTTTTTGACTCCCAAAGCAGTGCATCTGTGCGGCAGTAAAAGTAAAAATTTACCCCAAGGCTGAGGACTTATATAAATCGCTCTTCTTTTTACTTCTACTACGCTACTTAAACTTTAGATTTAGATTTAGACACTTGTGACATGTTTTTATAAAAGCTTTCATCTAGATCAAGTCAAGTGTGCCGATAAGTGATAATCCATGAATGAATATATATATGTCTTGTGTATTATATGTATACATGTGTGCTTTTGTATTTCTGTTAGTTGAACCTGAAGACTCCTTTAAATGATTGGGGAGGAGTTACTGTTAAGAATCACAGTACAGGACTAAGACTTCTTTGTAATAAATAGGGCTCTACTTTAGTTTGAAATTGCAATTCGGTTTAAAAGTGTTCTTGGGTACAGTTGAAATTGTCTAAGACAGTCAGCTCCCCATTGTCGAGCAGAAAAGTGGTCGTCTTAGACAGGTGGCCGCCTTGTACTGTGTCATTTTAACAAGACAAAGGGGTAAAGGAAGTATCTATTTGTAGTCTGTACGCAGGTGATGATCTTACATAAAGGTTCCCGTTTGTAGAGCCGGTTTGACTAATTATTTTACATCATTTTGTGTAAAAGTGTATAGGGTTCATATTCTTAGCTTAGTTTCTTTCAGACTCATGTTTTATTTTTATATATATATATATATATATATATATATATATATATATATATAATATATATCTGTCTTTGTATATATATCCAGTCTTGTCATTGTCTCTGTAACCACTGGAATAAGGCTAATTAAATATACAGCGCTTTAAATTCTAGCCTTAGGGCACTGTATTTTCAGAAGACAACTCGGTGTAGTTTTGTTTTTCTAAGATTATATTGGCTGAAGATGATGATGTTTGACCACAATGGCTTTTTAGACCTTGTATTTGTTTTGTTTTTATGTTAAATTGTTTTTTTAGGAGACGGGGGGCTATTTGAAAAAAGAGGGAGGTGGGGGTGGAAGAGGTGGGAAGGGTTACTTTCTGATTAGACTTCAATTTGAACAAACTCTTTTAACTGTCCCCAGGGTTTTATGCATCCCGCATAATATTTAGCAGAATTTGATCATTTTTTGCCTAATTTCTGATTATTTTCCTTTATCATTTTTTGTTAAAATTAACAGTACAGAATCGCATAATTTCACATTTTGGGCTCAGGTTGCCTAATTTCAGATTTTTTTTTTGCATAACACTGCGGGGACAGTTTTAAACTAGAGAGAAAACAAAATTAACTTAACTTTTTCTTTTCCTACACTTTTTTTTTTTTCTTAATAAGTGCAGTGAAAGAGAACCATGACGGACCATGTGGAGCCCCATGAGGCTCTCATGGCGTGGGCCCGAGATGAGATGAAGTTCTACGCGTCTACCTCCAGTGGTACCCGCACTCTACCTGTGGAACAGGACTTCAAGGAGTATGTTGTTGTTTCTTCTCTTTTACAATCCTTCTTTTTGATTGTATGGATTAGGAAATGTATTATTTGGGCTTTATAATTCATGGACTACTAAGAGTATATATATATATATATATATATATATATATATATATATATATATATATATATATATATATATATATATATATATATATATATAGATAGATAGATAGATAGATAGATAGATAGATAGATAGATAGATAGATAGATAGATAGATAGATAGATAGATAGATAGATAGATAGATAGATAGATAGGTAGATAGACCTGCCAAGAACTCCAATAAAATCCTAGGCCTGCGTTTATACAAATATTTTTTTTGCCCATCGAAGAACCTCAATCAGATTTGCATAAAATCTTTCTTTTTTTTCTTCAATTCTGTTTCCACCAGTTGTATGCAACTTTTGGTAAATGGTGTGAAGGTACACAGTTTTATTTGCAATTACTTGCACGACTTATTGTGAAAGTAGCATGCTTATAATATAAATCTGCAATATTTGCACAACTTTTTGTAAAAGGCATGAAAATATACACAATTTTATTTGTGTTTATGTGCATGGTTGGTTCGTGGTGTAATCTACGGGGGGTACTGGAGACTCAGATTTCTTCCATCAAACTGTGATTTTTAGCAAAGAATCAGAAAACAAACTTCCTATTTTTTGGTCATGGAGTGGATTGCAGGTTTCGTGTAAAATCAAGTGCTCAATAATGTTCTGCCAAAGAAGACTAAGAGCTCTCTTTGTAAGCATTATCCCTTGTTTGCTACTTTTTTTTTCCCAATCAAAATTAAGTTGTTTAGAATAGTTTTTAAAAGTGTTAACCCTATCCTTACGTCCTGGGGTCATTTTGTACCCCCGGGGTTGTATTCTTCACATTTTAGAATACTTTTAGTGTGAAGATCTGTTTTTAAACTTTCAGTATTTCTTTAAAAAATCATTTTGACAGTCTGCTATGCAAAGCGTACGGATCCAATTAACGAGTAAATTTCCTCTTTGGAAAGTGGTGGCACAGAGTTCCCCACGTCGTATGGATACGATACTAAAACACAACGTACAGGCAGGGTTGACAAAAAGTCTTCAAAATTCTTTTATCATATATACAGTAGTTTTAAAGGGAGATACTAAAACTCGATGCTAATTTCAATAGTATTGCTTTAATATTATTGAAATGTTGTAGTTGATTAATGATCTAGGTTGGCCTACTCTTTTTTTTTTTTTAAATATATGTTGAACAGGATGGGATGATGCTGCAGAGTTCCTTTTATGAAAATGTATAAATATTTTCCCATGTGTTTTCAGGTTGTTCAAAGGGCCCCTCTCTGACATGTGGTTGTATGTTCTGAAACACGTACGGTCAGTTCAGTGAGTATTTTCAAACATTTTACTTTCTTTTTAGTTTTGTACTGCAGGCTTGGGCACTGATTCTTTGTTTAAGAACTTGAATAATTCTGTGCCTTAAGTCGAAAAAATTCCCAAGTTTTAAGTTTCGTAAGCTTTAAAAAGGATGTACTAAAGATTGGATTTTTGAGAATCATTTCTAAAAAAGTTGAAAAGTGACTCGTGGGTATGCATGTTGTTTTTTTTAAACATTCAATGAAGAGAAAATTTCTAGATTGCTGTCTAATAATAGATTTGTATAAACACAAATTCCTGCTCAGCAGTAAGCTTTATCTCCCATAGTATTTTCTCTTCACTCTATTTTTGTCGTTCATTATAGTATGATCTTACAAGAAATGATGCTAGATTTTTGTTTTATGCACATTTGCTTTTTTTGTTTGTTTCAGAACGGTCAAGAAAATTCGAGGAAACTTAGCTGTGTATCCTTTTCCCCTTGTTGTGAAGCTTTCACTCATGGAGAGGCTTGCTCTGCTTCAGGTCATGTGGTCTTTACCTTTGTTTCAGATTTGTATTTCAGTGTTCAGATAAAAAAGGGCTATGGTTAAGGTGTTCGCCTCTCATTCAATAGGTCCCAGGTTTGAATCCGGAAAGCGACGGAGAGTTTTCTTCTCTAAAATTTGCTACTTTCACCTCCTTTCCTGCTCTCTAACAATGTTCTGTCGTCTGCGTTTGTCTCCACTTTCTACCTCCACTTTCTACCTCCACCCCCTCACCTCCTTTTCCCCCTTATTTGGGCTCCTGACTCTTTCTGCAACCTTTCTATTGCTATTCTCTGGCTCCTTCTTACTGCTGTATTTCAGCCTCACCCCTGATCTTATGATAGGTAAGATCTAACATCTAGTCTAGCCTTCTCGGATAAGGGCGAAAAATCTTGAAGGTTCGGTGTGCAAGTTGCGCGCGTTGAAGATCTCTCGGTGGTCCAGAATCGGTAAGAGTAGGCTTCAGCTGCAAGCTGGGCAAAAATTCCAAATTACCGGCCCGCTCATATCTTCTGGCGCTCATATGACTTTATGCAGTTGCGAGCACAGCACGGCCCCCCCCCGATACACTGCTTCACCCAGTAACATGTGCCACATGTGTATTTGCCTACTGTCATTTGACTTCTTCCTCATGTGTTTACTTTTTTGGCGAGTTCTGAAACTGATTTGGGCTGATTCTTTGTTGAGCACTCATTTCTAAAATTCTTTCAAGTCTGTGTGGATGGTTGGACAGTTCAAACGTACTTAACTCTCTCACTACTTCGAGCCATGTTTCACGCAGGGCTGCCTAAATCTACCGTTTTTTCCGGTAGATACCGATTTTGGGCCTGTTCTACCGCCATACCGCCATAGTTTCTATTGGTATGGGCTAGGGGTTTTGAAGTCAGTTTGGCAATCACCCTGCACTCAATTCCAGATTCAACACTAAATGACAGGTGCCTTGAACGTTAGTCCATAAATGATTTAAAAAAACAAAAGCAACCCAAACACCCCCTTCCCCTCCCCACATATGTAAACACACGCGAGAGCATGCGCACGTGCACACACAGACACATGCTTTTCACCAACCTTACATTCTCTCGTCCATTCATGTGGGTGGTTAGCAGGAGCACATTTTGAGACACACCCTGCTGGCTAGCGGGTTCTCTAGTGTGGTTTGCTTCTTCTTTCCTGTCAAACATTTGTCGTCCTTATCTTTCCTCCTTTTTTTATTTGTTCGTATGTTACTATCTAATAACATTTCTAATCCTTGGCACTTGTATGACCCAATTGTGTTGCAAATGCAGTAAAACTGTTATGAAAACTTGTCTACAACAAAAACTAAGGCATGTGTGGGTGGTTGGCGGGTGCTCTGGTGTGGTTTGCTTCTTCTTTCCTATCAAACATCTATCGTCCTTATCTCCCCTTCTTCTTTTTTTTTGTTTG